CGTAGTCTATACTGCTTCACATTAGTAATCAGGCGCAGATTCAGCAGGCAAATAGGCTCATGCTTTGCATGGCCTCTCAGTATCTCCTGCACCACACAGACAGTAATGCACTTCTTTTGGAGTCTGAATTCTCCTATGGTTGTCTGGAGAGCCAGACCTTATAAAACGTCTATGCCCAAGACATACTCTGGGATTGGGGCAATAGATACCTTATACTCCTGGGGCGGAAAACACCCAACCCCCAATTTCAACCACATTTGGGTGACTGAAATGGTCTCTCCCCCAAAGCCACCGATCATCTCTCTCTATCCCCATTAAATGGGGTTGGATCCCCCTAAATAATGGATGTTTCCGCTCCTGTGTCAACCAACACCATAACCCTTGGTATGGTCTTACAGGACTAAGAAATTGTCAGCTTAACATAGGACCTCCGGTCCCAGCTGGAAGCCCCAGTAACAGGGAGGCTGGCATCCCCCTTCATGCAAGTAACTGCACAACTGCCAATTCTTCTTCCTCAGGTGGTTCGGGCATAGTAGCCCAGGTCATCCATAGTAAAGTTTAAAAGCCCTAACAATGTGTTAAACAGTTGTTGCTGTGGAGACAATCGTCAGGTCAGGTAAGGTAAGACTGCATTGGGCAAGGGATCTAAACCAAAAAGGGCCAACAAAATGCTCTTCAGGACATCTTTTGAAGACAGCAAAAACACCGTGCCATGCTGAGGAGCTGGCAGCTGTGGGCAGGCTGCTGAGTTAGCAGGGGTGCAGCCAGTACTGCCCACTCTTGACCCTGACCCTTGGCTGCCAAGCTTCAAAAAGCCTTAGAGAGGGCATAAGCTAACTGTATAATCAATGAATGTACAGATGTTGTAATTACGAAATATACCAATGAGTTCGGCTAAGCAGTTATTACACCAAAACAGGATAGAATGCTTCCCCATAACCTGGGCTCGCTATGAAACTGCAGAGGAGAGATCACTAGAAGAGATCCTTCTCCACTGGTAGTCAGCTCTTAAATGGGTCTAGGAGAGGTGGAGCCAGGCTCCACCCCTTCCAACAGGGCAGGTGAATTGCCTTCACCTGTGCTCCCAGGGCTGACTCACAGCTCACCTCAGGTGATCAATCAGAGGTTCAGGCCCTGACTCAGCAGTTCCCATACACTCCACCCCTTCACAGCATGAACCAATGATCAGGTTGACTAAAGGGTAAGCTTTTCCTAATACAGAGATTCGCTATATCGCAGTGCTCATACGATTTCCACAGCAACGCATATTGATTCTTTTATGGGCCAGTGCTCAATGATGTTACTGGAGGCATGCAGTTGTGAGGTGCAGGTCTGTCCTATGTTCCATCACAGAATCACTGAGGTTGGAAAAGACCTATAAGATCATCCAGTCCAACCATCCACCTATCACCGCTAAACCGTTCTCGCTAAACCATATCCCTCAACACAATATCCAAACGTTCCTTGAACACCTCCAGGGAAGGGGATTCTACCACCTCCCTGGGCAGCCCATTCCAGTGCCTGACCACCCTTTCAGAGAAGTAGTATTTCCTAATATCCAGCCTGAATCTTCCCTGGCACAGCTTGAAACCATTCCCTCTAGTCCTATCACCGGTTATAAGGGAGAAGAGGCCGACCCCCATCTCGCTACAACCTCCCTTCAGGTAGTTAGAGAGAGCAAT